TAAATCCACCTCACAAAACAACGTAAGTGTAACATTTTCTCCTCTTGGTTGTTATTTTAGCTGTATGTATTTACTCCCATAACTTTACGATGTAGCAGAAGTCCCCTTTGCAGTTTTTCTAAATAAAAGCACATTTTATGTGAAGACCGGAAAAAGAGACTAAGGCGTAAGGCAATAAGAAAAGCAAAATAACGGCATCACAAAGAACCGTTTTGAATCTGGTTTCTAGAGCTGACTGGGTTACTCACAATGGATGTTCATAAAGTTAGTGTCTAATTATCTTTTGTAACTTTGTCTTGTTATATGATGTTTCAGCTAAACTTAGTTATTGGACATTAAATGAAACAGAATGTGTTGATTTCCTAGAGGGTGGTAATATACTAGCACAGAACACACACACTTTTAAGATCACTGCTCCACCCCTGTGCACAGAGTCTACGCACAACACAGAAATCAGCACAGTATCCTCCCAATCAACAGCCAAATAGAAAATGTATTCTAATAGTCAAAACCAACTTCTTCACCTATTTTAAACCAAACTATATGTTCTTTTGAACAGACAAAATTCGCAGCATAATGTGGTCACACACATACGCTCAAACAGACAGAAAGAGAAGTTCACACTCCAATCAGCCGGCAGTTCCAAACTTTATCAGGAATTTTTCTGTTCTTTTCTCTAATCTTGCTACCTGAATGGGTACAGACTATCCTCGCTGGTCTCTCCACTTCTGTTAAAAACAGATACTATATATACTTATGCTATGTATAAACGTCCTTTATTAGGCTCATGTGTATTTATCAGATTAAACAAACATCCTCTGAGGGGCTCATAGATTTTATCCAATTGAATATATAAAGTCCCCTGAAACAAAGGGCTCATAGGTTTTTAACACTGATGAAGATCAGATAAGTAAAAGTCCTCTGAAACAAAGGCTCATATTTTTTATCAAATCGGATATATAAACGTCCCCTTAGACAAAGGGCTCATAGATTTTTAACACTGATGAAGCAAAAATGTCCCCTCTTATAAGTTACTAAATCGCCTTTTAACCAATCACCTGCTATATATGCCTATTTATTAATACATCTATTCTATTTATCAATCACACATATACAAGAACATTTCCGGATCAAATACACATCTTCACACCACACAGACCTCTCAAAACCATCCAAATCACAACACAAGAGACAAGACACAGACAGAGACAGAGACCGTCCAGCAGCCACACACACACAAACACTTCAGGCTGTATAGAGCTTGAGCGCACATACATTCCAAGAACAGCCGCGCCTCAGCGAGCGCACACACATTCCAGTTCAAATTTTGAAGTCGACTCATTTATAATTTTCCTCTATCAAATCTTTTACTTTGGTCAAACTTTTAACAAATTGTCTTTTAACAAATTACTTCACACTGCATGCTTCAATGCACACTTTTTCCTTTACTCAGCGCTTTTTTCCCACTTTTCTCAAAACTCTTATCTTTATTCCTTATCTTCACTTTTCATCTTTTTACTTCTCATCTTTACACTTCTCATCTTTATTTCTTCTCTTTTATTTTCCTACATTATACGTTTATAATTTATCCAAATACCCTGGCCAGGGATCCCCTTTGTTTTATTTTTACTCAATTTGACTACTTCTTAAAGCCAACTTTCACTTCAGTGTCTAATTTACACATGACTTACTGTTAAGAGGATACGGGCCCTGTCCTTGTTAAACTTGCATAGTTTTTTAGCTAACTTGTCTCGTTACTAGTTGCGCTTATGCTATCATTACCTTTCAACTTTATTCATCTCTTCTTCGATTATTTATCTCTTCTTTATTTTATTCCCCTTTATTTATATACTTTTTAACTCAATAAACCCCAATTTAGACGGAGAATTACTCCAACATCAACACATCATTGCACTTCAGTTCTTTGACAGTGCGGCCAAAATTGCCGATAGACGACAGAAACAGCTCCGCAATATGTGCAGAAAAAAAGAAAGAAACACTTACGAAGTGATGGAAATAATGAACAAGCTGTGGTCCCCTGCAGAAGGCCCCAACTGATCCTGTTCCGTGACGCCAAAATTGATGTGGATTTCCTTGTTGTTGATATGTTTGATGATGAAGAGATTCGCCGTTGAGACTGACTTGCTTTCAAAGAGTATAATTTTATTTAAGCAAGAAACAGAATCACTGGTCACGTCTGACCAGGAGGATCAAGAAGCCAATAATGATCTCTCTCGAACACACAGAGACAATTGCTTATATGCATCCAAACATCCGCTTTTCGTCATAAAAACATCAAGTTACACAACCACATGTGGCAATACTCCTATACAACACCTCAATTTAAACATTCCACCTGAGGGGACTCCTAAATCTCCTTCAGATACTATCTCCAGACGCGCCCGTTGTAAACTTATATTATCTCTGTCCTAGTTACATCAGACACTTCAGACGTCGTCAAACTTTGCCACCGAAACATTAGATTAGAACAAAGCATGAAGCAAAGATGAAGGAGTTGCCCACCCGTCAGCTAATTGGTTCTGCCCCCAGGAAGTTTTTAGCAAAGCTGGACAATCAGAGAAATGTGGGCACATGAAGAGGGCGGTCTTAAAGAGACAGCAGCTGAAATGAACCGTTTCACACAGAGGCTGATTTGATCTGTACACAGACATAACGTCCAGCATCCTCCTCTCTGATCTTCTTTATAACCAGAGAACAGTCCTCTGTGACTCTCAGTCTGTCTGATTTAACTCCAGAGTTTTTAACCTGACCAAGTGTAACCAGCTCTGCTGCTGGTGTGTTTCCTGAATCATCATCAACAAAGCCCCATGTCGTATATTCACACTTCTGTTGACCTTGTATCACAGTTTCACAAGACAACGTGGCGTCCTCTCCAACTCTGAATGTGACTCTTTTAACTTCAGCTGCTGCTGTTGAGAAAATGACAAAGAATAAAGTAAATCAATAAAATGTTGATTATATTCACAATCAGTTTGAGAATAATTCTTCATCTTGGTTTCTCAGAGTTCATTAAATCCATCATGTTTAAAAAAAGGTTAAATATGTGATATAAATGTTCTTACCAGCAAACTGAAGCAGCGCTGTGAGAAGTAAAGAAGTTTGAATCCATTTGAGCTCGTTCATGGTGATTCTCCGTCTCTGTCCTCCCGTTGTCACGCTCCTAACTGTCTGAGTTTCTTCAGTAGTGCTTCTTTAAAGAGACGCTGCATCTACTTCCCTTTCTTAGTATGTCGTCACTTCCTCATTTTGACTTCAAGCCTGCTTTAAGTGTTCATTTCTATGAATGTTCATAGTTATTAAAACATGATGTAAAGTGTTTAAGTGATCATAAACTGATGATCATTAAGATGAGCTGCATCGATCAATAAAGAGGTCAGAGGTCACAGCAGATGGTGATGACTTTGAAGTTCAGCTCTTTGGTGTATTTGTTACAGGATGTGTTACCAAAAAAAACAAAAAAATAGGACGGAGGAAATAAATGTGTGAAGATTGAGAGTTCAGATAAATGTCTGAGTAGTGCAACGTTCCTCTTTAGATGGTGTTTCTGAGAACACAGTCAGGTTTAATAACAATCTCTGAATGTCCGTTGTGTTTGAGAGAACAGAGATCAGATGTTATTTTAGTGCTCTGAGATGTGTTGACACCTCATGTTGAGTCTTTTCTTGAGAAGTGAAGGGAAGTCGTTTGCAATAGTCAATGCATGATATCACAAGAGCCTGTACCAGGAGCTGTGTAGCATGCTCTGACATGTAAGGTCTAATCTTCCTGATGTTGTTCAGGGCCAGCCACGGCCACCTCTTCAGTTTACTATGCAAACCTAAGACGACAATTCACTTTTGGTGCATTTTTCTGTACAGTATTTTGACTCATTCTAGTTCTCTGGTTAGAAAAGAGCTCTCCAGCAGAGGGAGAATTAACCCGAGAATGACGGATACCCCAGAAATAAAGGAATGTAGAGAAAATGTTCACTTTCAGAAAGACTCTGTAATTTAATGAAGGAAACACAAAAGGCACACAGTAGAATTAAGTGGTAAATGTTTATTTATTTGCAGATTTAATATGATTTAATAAAGACATGATTATTACAGACTGAATACTGAAAAATAATAAAAGAGATCTATTATGTTGATCCATATTTAAAAACATACATATAATGTTACCATGTTGGATGTTCATACTAAACCTCTGCAAATTTTTTAAACACAAGATACACAGATGTTGGTGTAATCCCGGACGAGGTTTCCTGCTGCTCTGAACAAGATCTTAAAGAAAAAGTTAGGAAATGCATCAGAACAAAACATGGGTAAAGTTGAAGGGTTGCACCCGGCAGCTCATTACTTCTACCCCCAAAGAGTTTTAGCAAAGCTGGCCAATCAGCAGTAATGTGGGCACGTGGGGAGGGCGGTCTTAAGAGACAGCAGCTGAAATGAACCGTTTCACACAGAGGCTGATGTGAGAGATTTACCGACATAAATAAGAAGGTTTTTGAGCTACACATCTCACAACACTACTCAACAGGTGTCCCAGACTGACATGATTAATGGTGAAAGTGAGGATAATAGACCTCCTTTAAGTAAAAATACACATTCAATCACATTCAATCAAATATATTGAAGCAACAATAAGACATGAAAGTTAATTTGACATAGTGATTAAAATTAGATTATTCTGACATTTTAAGGCACTCAAAAATATGAAGAACTTTATACAAATGAAGCTTTCTACAAAAAAAATATTATCTGCCATGTTTGCAAAAACTGAAGATTAACCCAAGTGATGATTGATAACACAACACAATCTTTCTTGAACAGCAAGCTCATTAAAAACAGACCGGTACGTGCGACCATGTTCTCTCCCTCCTCCTTCACCTGCTGCTCACCTGAGCGGAGGAGGAGGAGGAGGAGGAGGAGGAGGAGGAGGGGGGGGGGGGGGGGAGGAAGAGGAGGGGTATTTAGAGGAGCCAGGTAGGAGAGTCAGGGGCGCACACACTCTGGGCAGCGTTGTGGTGAGGAGCTTTTGTTTCCCAGTTTTACTGGTTTTCCCCACATATGTTAACATTGTTGGGTTTTATTATTTGAGTTTTGACTGGAGATCACTGTTAGTCCTATTTTGGGTCTTTTGGTTTCTTTAGTTTAATCTTTTCTTCTTAGGTAGTTTTAGGGGGAGGTACCATAATGACGGCACATTACGTGGTTGGCTCAGCATCTTCCCATCTTTTGTTTTTTTTCTTCCGGGTCTCCAGCCCCTTTTGTTTCTTATCTATCTTTGATTACTTTGGGGGAGTGGGGTATTTACAATAAATAAAGCTAGGGTTGAACTTTAAATCTTTGTGGCGTCCTTGTATGTTTTCGGTCTCAGAGTTTTGAGCCTTGGTTTAATAATTTTGGTTCAGGAGGCCGTAACAAATATCAACTTCATATTCCACATCAGCACATTTATCAAATCCTCACTTAGTACCTCAAATAAAATGTGGATCCATGTTTTTATGCTCAAAAGTACGATATAGAAATGATTAAAAGCGGTGGATTAATGTATCTGCTCAGTGGATGTTTGTGTGGAAGTTGTTGATCAGTGGAGTCTGACAGAAGCAGAAGGTTCTCCAACATTTTCATAGTTCACTGAGCCTTCATCTCCATCATAATACACCTGTGAAAATACAAAAACATACGAGTTAAAATGGAGGTAAGAAATGTTCCTTCTCTATATGAAGACAGTTCATATGAGGCTTTATTTCCAGCTCACAGTGATGTCATCAGGTGGTCTCTGGTTCCCTGAAAAATAAAGCACACAGAAACATTTCAGCTCTGACTTTAAGGTTGGTGGTGATAGGTGTGAATAAAAGTTGGTGTGAGTGTTTCTCACCTCGAGCTCTGAAGAGAAGAACAGTGATCACAGTAATCAGGAGGAGTTCAGCCACACGCAGAGCCAACATGACCAAGTCCAGAACAGAACAACTTGTACAATCTGATGAACAGGAACAAGACGTTAATCAAATATTGAACTTTGCTAATAACTTTTGTATTTTCATAAAACATAAACGTCTTCTAAAGACAATAGATCTGAGTTCTTAAGATGATATGATAAATAAAAAAAAGATAACACGTGTCTGTATTGAACATTGAGAGCAGTAAAATGATTAAATTAATTTGATTGGGATTAATCCCAGATTTTCAGCAGTTAATTAGGATTTATTACATTTTAATCATGTTTGAAATTCCATTATTTTGCATTTCAGAAAAAGAAAATTTACACTTTTATTTTGTACTTTCTTGAGCTAAGGATACTTTATTTCCTGTTTTGGATATAAACCCTCTTTTACTTTGAAAGAAAAGAAGAAACTTTGAGGGTTACAACTTAACCACAGAAAAAAGGAACTTGTTAAGGATGGTAAAGAGTTAAAGAGGAGGGTCATGATGTGAAATATTTGAGGTCATTTGGTGGATATTACTTTTAAACTCGTCAGCTGAGCCGTCTGGGAGGTTTTAAAAAAAAAGTGAAACAAGACATTCAAAGGCACAGAGGTGTCGTTCTTTTCCATCACTGTGACTACAGGGAGACACTTCTGTCAGTGTGGTGGTTTAGATACTGAGGGACTAAAGAGATCAGATAGGGATCAATGTGTCCAACAGCATGTTAGCTCCAAACTTCTGTCCTTAATCAGAATCAAACAAAGAGAGGAGACAACAGACTCTACCTGGTGGTCTTGTTGTTGTTGTTGTTGGTCTTGCTGGTTCTGGTTTGGTGTCCTCACCTGAAGTTGAGATAAACACAACTCAACAAACTGTTCAGCACTAAACTTGTGTTTTCATATAAAATTCAAACTTCAAATCCAAAAAAAACATTTTAATATTTGAAGTATTTCCAGTCCAAAGTAAGGATGGAGAACACAACAAGAGACAAATTAACTTCATCAGAGTCTTTATAATTATTGTAATGTTTCAGTTTATTGTTTGAATTAGAAAAGTTTTGTTTGAAAAGATTATTGAAATACTTACTCTTGTTAACAGAGAGATCAACTCGAGTCACATCGCCTGTTCTTCTTCCTGATTTGATCTGTAGACAGACATAACGTCCAGCATCCTCCTCTCTGATCTTCTTTATAACCAGAGAACAGTCCTCTGTAACTCTCAGTCTGTCTGATTTAACTCCAGAGTTTTTAACCTGACCTTCTACAACCAGGTCTACTGGTGGTGTGTTTCCTGAATCAACAAAGAGCCATGCCGTATATTCACACTTCTGTTGATCTTGTATCACAGTTTCACAAGACAACGTGGCGTTCTCTCCAAATGAAGCTTTAAATGTGACTTCTTTATCTCCAGCTACTGCTGCTGATAAAATGACAAAGAATAAAGTAAATCAATAAAATGTTGATTATATTCACAATCAGTTTGAGAATAATTCTTCATCTGTGGTTTCTCAGAGTTCATTAAATCCATCATGTTTAAAAAAAGGTTAAATATGTGATATAAATGTTCTTACCAGCAAACTGAAGCAGCGCTGTGAGAAGTAAAGAAGTTTGAATCCATTTGAGCTCGTTCATGGTGATTCTCCGTCTCTGTCCTCCCGTTGTCACGCTCCTAACTGTCTGAGTTTCTTCAGTAGTGCTTCTTTAAAGAGACGCTGCATCTACTTCCCTTTCTTAGTATGTCGTCACTTCCTCATTTTGACTTCAAGCCTGCTTTAAGTGTTCACTTCTATGAATGTGTCATAGTTATTAAAACATGATGTAACATGTTTAAATGATTATAAACTGATGATCATTAAGATGAGCTGCATCGATCAGTAAAGAGGTCAGAGGTCAGAGGTCGCAGCAGATTGACGGAGATCCTGTCAAACTGTGATCAGTGTATGAAGAGGTCCGTCCCTCTGTCCTCCCGTTTTCACGCTCTCAACTGTTCAGTTAAATGTGTGAAGATTGTGAGTTCAGATAAACGTCTGAGAAGTGCAACGTTCTCTTTAGATGGTGTTTCTGAGAACACAGTCAGGTTTATTAATGATGTCTGAGAGCAAAAAGTGAACAAAACATGGAGGGTCAAACTCCTTGACCTCCTGAATACAACTCTGAATGTCCGTCGTGTTTGAGAGATCAGAGATCAGATGTTATTTTAGTGCTCTGAGATGTTGACGCATCATTTTGAGTCTTTTCTAAAAAGTGAAGGGGAAGTTGTTTGGTGAGAATGTGGTATCATCATCAGCAGCAGAGCCCTGGTCAAAACAAATGTAACCACATGAAGGTTATTGGCACATTTACAGTCGATGGTTTTTGGTCAGTGAGACGAGTTGCAGCAAACATTTCAACATTAAAGAGCGTCCTGAGAGCTGAAGGGGAAGTCGTTTGGTGAGAATGTGGGTATCATCATCAGCAGTCGAGTCAAAACAAACATTTCCTCCTCATCTTCAAACTCCTCTGCACGCTGCAGCAACATGGCCGTACTCCTGACAGCAGAAACACCTGAGAGGAGCTCTCTCATAAGCTCTCACTCTGTAGCAAACATTATCTAAATACACTATATCAGCAAGATCTCCTTCAAACGACAAACACATCTATGCTGTGTCCTCCCTTTCCCCTTCATGAAACCTTGTCATTCTCCTCTCTTCACTCCTTCAATTGTCAGAAATGACTTTACAGACTGTGGTACACCACTCACCACTACCTTCTTTTTTGCCTCTGGTCCAAGGGAAAGCCATGTGAGAGCACTAGAACCATCTCCAAAGACACACATACATTTCACTTAAAATTGAACACATTGAGCTGCACACAAGTATTATTACAAAACTCAGACTAACTGTGTTTAAGGTACAAGAATGGAAAAATGAAATGAAGTTCTTGTAAAAATATTCCCCTCTAAATCGAGTTGAAGAGCTTTTTTATGCATTCAAAAGAAAACAATTTAACAACTGAACCCTCATGTCTCTCTCCTCTCTCTTTTAAGCGTCTAACCTGGAGCTGCATCAAGAGAACTATTCCTCAACTTCCTCTAATTAGTAAAGTGTAAAGTTTTTATTAATTTTTAACAGTTTTTTAAAACAATGCAGCACATCTTATACCAAGAAAATAAAAAAATAAAAAGGTACAGAGCACTTAGGCAGAGCATGCAAGTCATCTCCGAGCATGAGATAACAAAAATAACAAAATAATGCCACAGACATAAGAGAGGTACACCACCAACATGGATCCATTCTATGACCTTAGTTTAACATGTTGCCAAAACAGATCCATATCTCCGTCATCTTACCACCAACATTCATTTTTCACAACATGTTTTCATATGAAGAGATCTTAACCATTTCGTCAGTCCATTCCTTCACAGTGGGGCGCCTGGGGTCCTTCCAATTTCGCAGTATAATTCTCGCGGCTGTGATAAATCCAACCTTTAAAATGCTAAATTTGGGATTTGTAACATTAGGCACCAATGACTTGTCACCAAGGAGGCAAAGCCTTGGGTGCACTGGGAGAGTGACACCAATCCAATCCCCCAGTATCTCCAAAATACTACACCAAAATGGATGCACCATAGCACATTCCCAGATCATATGTAAAAAAGTGCCCAGGTCGTTCTTACACTTCCAACACTGATTGTTATCAGCAATTCCCATCCTATGTAATCTAGTTGGTGTCCAATGAAATCTGTGTAATATTTTGTAATGAATAAGTTTCCCCCTGGCCTCTCTGATGTTTTTGCCCACATTTGAAAGAATATCTAACCACTCATCATCTTCAATGGTAGTTGCAAAGTCCTTCTGCCATACCAGTTTGAGATTACTGCAGCAATCCCCTGAGGATTTCTTGTACATTTTATAAAACACTGAGGCTTTATGATTTACCTGAGGTGACTTGAAAAACTGAATCAAGTGATTAAGTAACAACACTCCATTCTTACATATGCAACCAAGACAGTGCCTCATCTGTAAATATCTCCAGAAGTTTCCTTTATTTGTAAGTTTGTATTTCTTTTGAAGGTCCTGATATGACATTAATACCCCCTTTTCATATAAATCGCCTATTGTGTTTATTCCCTTGGATTGCCACTCCTTCCAGTATGCTGTTTTCTTTCCGATGCGTAATTTAGGGTTGTTCCAGAGTGAAGAGTAATTTAAAAGTTGTATGAACTGCACTCCACACACTCCTTGAATAGGACATTATGGGATTTGAATTATTTTCTACCTGTTGGGATAAAATGGTAATGGGGCAGTATGGATTGACTACGCTCTGTTCTATGTTTATCCAATCTAGGTCTATATCTGCTCTGACCCAATGTTTCACCAACTTGATTATTTCAAAAGATAGGTTATATACTTTGACATCTGGCAAACCAAAACCTCCCTTGTCCCTGTCCATACACATCTGGACATTTTAATTCTCGGTTTCTTCTTATCCCATAAAAAAAATCGTTAACAAGTTTGTTATAGTGCTTATGTATTGAATCTGGAATCTTTAAGGGTATCATAGAGGACAAATAATTAAACTGAGGAGCTACAATCATTTTAACCACATTCACCTTGCCCCAGAGAGATAATCTTAATGCTCCCCATTAATCTAAATTATTTTTTATCTTGCCCAATAAAGGATTATAATTTAGAGCAACCATTTCATCTAGATTCTGACTGAGTTTGATCCCGAGGTACGTCATTCCCGTTGGAACCCATTTCAAATTGAATTGAGATATTGTGTTAGTATTACATAGCCTCAGATTTGTTACAGTTCATTTTATATCCAGATAGCTCAGAGTACAGTTGTATAGTACTCATCAGATGTGGCAGAGAGCCAGAAGGGTCACCTATCAATAATAAAATGTCGTCCGCATAAAGCATCAGTTTATGTTCCCTTCCAGCTCCCCCCACTCCTCTAATATTTGGATTTGCTCTGATCATTGTTGCCAATGGTTCCAAAAAAATTGTGAAGAGCAGCGGAGAGAGGGGGCAGCCCTGACGTGTACCTCAGGAGACACTGAAAAAGGGGGAAATCATGCCATTTGTCATAACTGCAGCCTTGGGACAGCTATAAACTATATTGATCCATGACTTAAAAACCGAGCCGAAGCCAAAAGAAAACAGAGCCGTATTTAGGAATTTCCACTCTACCCTGTCAAATGCCTTTTCGGCGTCCAGGGAGATGGCAGTAACGGGGACTCTACTCTGAGAATTCAGACAGATTAAATGTAACAACCTCCTTAAATTATCAGTTGAGGACCTTCCTTTAATGAAGCCCACCTGATCAGCATTAATTATAGAAGGTAATACTTTCTCCAATCGTAACGCCAGAATTTTTGTGAGTATTTTGCAGTCCAAACTGATTTGACTAATTGGCCTATAGTTTGAGGGATCAGCTGCATCCCTATTCTTTTTTGGGATTAGCAAAAACAATGTTTCATGAAACGTATTGGGCAAGGATTCGAGATGAAATGCTTCTGAGTACACTCATGCTAAGACGGGAGCTAATATATCCAGAAATGTTTTGTAATATTCAATGGGAAAGCCATCCATGCCTGGAGACTTCCCCACTTTCATAGTTGCAATGGCTTGTTTAACTTCATCCTCTGTAATCGGTGCCTCCAAGGACTCTGCATGTTGTTGAGAGAGTTTAGGCAATTTTATGTTTGAAAAGAATTGATCCAATTAGTTTTGTTCTTGGTTTACCTGTGAGGTATATATGTTTTCATAACATTGCTTAAAGACCCGTTTCTTTCTTCAGACGATGAAACTAACACATCCCCTTTTTTTACAACAGGAATTACGTTATTGTTAGTCTGTTGTTTTAATTGTCTTGCCAGTAGTTTGCCTGCTTTGTCACCCCCTTCATAAAAAGTTGTTTGTAGTCGGAAAAGAGCATATTCTGTTTTTTTGTTAAATATATTATTTCATTTAAACTTCAGGTTACACAAGTCCTTGTATAAATCATCAGTATAATGCTCTGATAGAGACTTCTCCAACTTAATCATTTCCGCTTCCAGCTTTGACAATAGGCCCATATTTTCCTTTTTCCTTCTGGACGAATGTGCAATCAATTTCCCTCTTATGTAGGCTTAGAAGCCTCCCACACTGAGGAAAGTTTCTCTGTTGTCCCCACATTTAGATCAAAAAACATGGTCAGGTCCTCAGCTAATTCTTTGCTAAACCCCTCATCACTCAAAAGTGCGATGTTCATCCGCCCCCTACCCCTCTTTCCTGTTTCGGCATTTAGTTCTATTTGAGTTTCGACAGGTGCATGGTCAGATAATGCTATAGGACCAATTTTACAGTCTATTACCTTGTCAATAGTAAATTTGGATAGGAGAAAAAAATCAATTCTAGAATGTGATTTGTGGCGATGTGAATAAAAAGTATATAAAAATAATTTGTCCTTCTTTGGTGTCCAATACTTTGTTCAGCTCATTGATAAAATCCAGATCTTCCTTATTAGGTGCATAAATATTACAAAGAACCACTTTGATCCCATTTATAAGAGCATCTATGCAAATGATCCTCCCTTCCTTATCTTTAAACTCCCCCTTTAGTACAAAATTAAGCTTTTTACTAATTAGAATGATTACTTCATTTTGC